AATCATTGTTAATTTGCTCACTCTTGAAGCTTGTGTCTCGGCATCAGAAACAGATAATATTACAAAACAAGAATACAATGAAAAACTTGGACCACCTAATCAAACTTGCCTCTTCCTTTTTTCTAAATCTAATTAATTTCTTCCTCACCATTTATGCTTTGAAGGGTTTTTTGACATTTTCTTTAATAATTTCAAATAAACCATCATGTTTAGGTGGGCTGTCGCTATAATTTTACCTTCAGCAATCTCAATCAAAAGCAAAAAAAAACAAAACAAAAAAAACCGATTTAAAAATAGTGACACATTCACGAATGCAATAAACATGCAACATTACGTTAATGCTGGAAAACATGCTGTGCACATACATATGTAAATACACAGACATATTTTTAATCTAAAACATGCACAGACTTAGCAGGCAATCTCCTCATTATCATTGATTTAGCTATACCAGCTGTAAATGTACAAACGTTATTCAGATGACACGAGCCATTTTTCTTGTTTTATTTCAAGCCAGTATATAGACTTTTTGATGTCCAGGCTGTCATTTTAAATCGCTTTAGTTTTTTAATGATTTTGTATTTTTTTCATGAATACTGTGTATTTCATGGCAAGAAATGACATTTTAATGGCACTGGTTGTCTAAAATAACTATTAAAATAATACAATGTTGTAAATTGTTCATAGGATTCTTAACCAACAGGAACATAGACTGAAGAGAGCAAAAAATAAAAAATCAAAATGCTTCAGAACTAGTTTTTACAGACAATTGTAAAAGGAAATCATTTCCATACTTGTTTTGAAGTCTTACTATCCACATGCTTCCAGACCCCTTATATTTGTGAACCTAGATATGCAGTGTTTACATGAAAGCTGTGACATCACTTGAATGTTTTGCTTGAATGATGTTTTAGTGTCTGCGTTAGGATAGATTTTGACATTCAGGCACTGTAAGAAGTAATGCTTGCCTGGCTTCATCCGTTGCTGGTTTTGAAGGCCATCGCATGTATTTTCAGACCAAAGTAGCGTTAGGTTGATTCACTTCATGATTATGATGTCAGAAAATTACAACATTTTAGTGTTGTCTGAAAATATCCGAAACCGCATGCCGAGATTTAGTTCTCCTGTGAATGAAAGCATTTTTGATAGATACTTGATGTAAAATGTCAAACTGGACTTGTACAGTTAAGATAGGAAAACTCTGGGATAGGTTTTTCAATTAATTTATCCTACAGAGAAGTCTTTTGTGAAGTGAAATGAATCACTGATTGGTCTAGATCACATGCTCAAAGATGTTCTAAGTCCACACAAGCAAATCTTTTGGACTATAAGGTTTGCTCACATCGCTTCTCAGTGCTCGTTAAACCTTTTTTGTGCCCACTTACTGTACTGTATTATCATAGAATGTCTACGCAATCTATAACATCCCCATTGTGGATGTTATAGTTTGCAGATGCTTTGACTTCGGATGTTATGCAACTTTGTGTAGAATGTAAATTTGTGTTACAGTAAAAGAACATGTCCATCCATCATTTACAATGTCTGCAGGGGATTGTTTTGCTTGAATGCTTTAACTGATTAACAGCGAATGAGGAGAGTACCACACCTCACACAACCTTATCCTAACATTAACACTACAAGAGTACTGCATTTGTTTATATTCAGTTTGTATTGCCTCTGAATCGACTGACTATATGTTTAGTAAAAAGAGAAACGAGTAGTTGTGGCAAATGCAAATAACCTAGAATCCTCCAAAGCACCCATTGTTTAAGTAAACGAAACAGGCAGTATGTTGTAAGTGCCTCTATGAGGCCCATGTAGGCTTAACTTAAAGTTAGATTTAACTAGCTAGACCTTTGATGTAATGCTCAATAGGTCAGTGGTTTTTACTAAATATGTACATATCTGTATCTACATATACATTAAAGCCAAAACCTATGTATGTATACCATATGAGGGGAGGGCAAGAAATTCCATAACCACTGATTCTGATCTCATATGCATGTAAAGTGATGTTTGGCTTTCCCTAAAAATCCTAAAAGTCCCATGCACAAACTTGGTTTCCAGTTATAAATACATACTTTTGAGGTATGTTTGCTTTTTTTTTTTTTTTATTATCTTTTTCTTTACTGTTATCACATGATTAGGGTTTTTTTTTAAATCTATGTAATTATCCAGTGACCTGTAATGATGGCTTGAAAGAAGGTTCAGAGTGTAAGTTCGGTATTTGCTTTGATAAGAACTGATTTGAGTACATGTGCTTTATGTTAATCGATATAAACGTACAATGAGTATGAATATTTCAGTGATCACGACTAATGTATCAAAAAACGTTTGATAAATGTGCAGCTTTGTGGGAAAATATGCAGGACTGTATTGTAAAAACCTTCTAGAAAGGAAGAGAATGAAGCTGAACTTTGTGCTTTGAGAAGGGTGGAAGTGAAACTGTGAATTCAGTTAAACGCCTGTGTGTGTCACTATTGTGCATAACAAGATAGTTAGACTAACTTGTAGTGGCCATTAAGAGGATGATGAGTGAATAAAATCTCAAAGTCTTGGACATAGCAGAATAAAACAAACAATGTCAATCCCCAACAGCGGAAAAATTAGTTAAACTGTTCCTCGAATTTGCCCTAGGGATCAGATTTATAACTAATATATAATATAACTAGTGGTGTATGCATTAAAATAATGCATACACCACCCTTTAAACAAATCAGGCAGTAATATTTACATTTGTAAAGTGCTGGAGCAATATAAGAACATAGGAATAATGTCAAAGACACCTGTATTTGCTATTTGTGTAAGTTAAAGATATTTCTTGTTGTTCTTTTTTACTTATGCTCTGTTTATAGCTTCGTAGCTATGTTGTGTGGAAATGAGTGAATAAGACAAAGACACAGTCAGAACTGCATATTTTGTCCCCAAAACATCAGATCCTAAATGAGGCTGTCACAATGTCAGATTTTTCACAATAACAATATTATTTCAATATCTATCAAAATGAAAAAAGAAAACAAAGCAATAACGACGAATCTCATCCTCCTTCAACTTTGTGCACTGTGTATTTTGTGTTTTTGTGTATTTTTGGGCAATACACAAAGTATGAGTCTAAGGCTGTGGAAGATGTCTGCAAACATAACTATACTAAATTGAGGAAAAAGATATTAAAGTGTAATTTATGACCAGACAAATAATATTGTTTTACTGTCCAATAGTGGCTAATTTATATATTTATATTCATACATAGGAACTCTCACTTGACAATAGGAGAGAGTCATATACAGTAATGGTTATATGTCTGCATTTAACACATGTAAAAAAAATACTTTATTGATATTAACAGAATTCAGTGACTTCACTTAATGTCTTGGTTAAATTAAGATGTACTGAGCAGTAATTGTAAGCTTGTGAGCAACATTTACTGCAAAAGTGACTTTTCCTAGTTACTGTGCTGTGTTTTTATTTTTTGGTTTGTTTGGTTTTTTTTGTCTGGCACCTTTCTACTGGATACTGATAGAAGAAGGAAGTCAAATGAAGAGATGAAGGACCCACAGGAAGAGCTTATACAGCATCAACAATGGATAATTGTATTGTACATTAATGTTTGCTGGTGTGACCACAACAGAAGTGTTTTATTTCTTGAAAGATGTTTAATGGCATCACAAAATTTGCTAGATTTGTTAAATGAATGAACTTCATAGTGTGGTGTTGTTGACAAGCATTTTCTGGAATTAGTAGCTGTGTTTTCAAGTGTAGCTTAAGGGTAGGTGTTAAACCCCTGAAACTGTGTCTGGGAGTAATGCCACAATCTCACAATCTGAAGTCCAATAATACTTTTGTGGATGTGAAAACCTCCATGAATGGCATTCAGTATGTTTCTATGTGTCCATGTGTCAAAATGTCAAAAATGTCCTTTTCCGTGAAGTATACAAATCATTCAAATGAAAATGTTTGCACACACGCACTTACACAGACTAGTGAAGAACTGATTAGAGTTTCCCTAATCCTGCTCACTTTGAAATGTTCTGTGCTTTGAAATGTTCTGTGCATAACTCACTCATGTAACAATGACTGCTGTGTTCACTGAAAGTTGAAGTGCAAAGTTGGTCAGTTGGCTGGTAGCAAGTTTCATTCAGTCTATTGTTTGTTTTTTTAATAATGTCAGCTGTCATTTTTATCGTCACCGATACCTGAGTATAAATTATAAATGTGTGATTACAAAAAAGTACAGCAACTCTGCCCATAATAAGCAAAATCTATCCCAACTTAAATCTCACTTATCTCCTTGTGCAGCTCTGGACCACACCCAGCAGTGCTGTCATTTTAGTTTGCTTCCTATACGTCCACTTTGTACTTGCACTCTGCATCTGTGATTTCACCATAGACCCCAGAGTAATATATTCAGTGACTGCTAGAGAACTGTGGTGCGTGCCGCAATGACACAGTCTTCACTCACCACCCATCCTGTTTGCCATATTTGGCTCCTTGCGACATTGTTCCTTTGACACAACGGAGGGGATCCAGCTAACATCACAAATGCAGAATGCAATTTGTCAAAATGGGACTTTACAGGAATGTACTAAAAATAGCAACCTCTACACTCATGTTTTATGTGCAGAGTTGCAGAACTTAAGTTATATGCAAAGTTACTGTCTGTACATATCTATGAGACAGACTGGTTTTTTTGTAGCTTGTTGTAGATGTCATTACAGTTTAAATGTGTGAACCTCATTCTGACACTGTTAACCTGCAGTTTACAGGTAATAGCAATCCTTGATTATTTTCCTATTCTACATAATATTAACAGAATTAATAACCTGGATTACAAAAGTCCCTATTATTGACATTCAGAATATGACTTTACAACTAAGACTGGTTTATATCAGTTAAGCCCTTTTTTATAAATTAATCAGTTTGTTTATAACATTTTACTGTGTATACTATTTCACAAACTCTGTGGACCTGATATTAATGGCTTTCTGTTCTTTTCTTTACAGTGTTAAGTTTCTAGCATTCGCCCTCTCTCTAATGAAGAGTCCATAACCGGTAAACACAAATTTGCGGCGGGAGCCACATAACGACAGGTGTGACACGGATGGACAGTTTAAAGGAGATCTTTGGGGTGACAAGAGAGACCAGAGGTTAATCATGAATTAAAAAATCATATGGTCTGCTCCTCACATTGTTACCAAAGCAGCCTCTCGGAACTCCAACCACACTTTTTACAGCTGTCTGACTGACCTTTTCTTTTCCTTTCCTTTGGCAAACTGACTGAGCATTGCACTTACACACTTTTGGGAGAAAAAAGGACCCCTTAGTTCACATTCCAGATGACATCTCTCTGACACTAATACTCGCCATCTTGTATGAAGACCAACTCAGTGCTATCTACAGTACTGAACAACTGAGCAACTTTGAGTTTCTGAAAAAACAAAACAAACAAACAAAAAAAAACACGTCTTCAACGGGACTGAATGAACAATGTAGCATCTCTGCTAACATATTGTAGCATTTGTTGGCTGGGAAATAACTTGACTTAACTCATCAACCGTTCACAGAGAGAGGAATTTATGCATTCAAGGGATCTTTTAGATGTCATTTTCCTCTTGGGTTCCTTTTCCAGTTAAAAGAACAAAAACAAAAAACGAGTACACGAGAGACAAAGGATTGGTCTTACTCATTAAAACACCTGGCATTCACACACATATATTTTATATATATATTCATAAATATATATACATATATATGGCCCATTTGGGGGACCCTGTGTGTATATATATATATTGATATGTATATATGTATACATATATATATATATTACACCCATATGGTCCCTTGTTCAAGCTTAGCACGTGTATAGTATGTTTGCCACTGAATCTATGTCTTCCATTAACTTTTATCTGACTGAAACACTGCCCTCCTCACAGCACTGATATCAAAAAAACTACAAACTATACCAAGTGTGAAGCACATGTAAACAAAGCACATGTAGCATCTGCTCAAACATGTCACATATGGCATTTACTGTACATTTATACTCACCTGAAACAGTCACTGCAACAAAATAGTGAGAAAAGACTTGTCTTTATCTCTCATGTACTGACATGGGCTTGCCCAAAGGTCCTGTAGCATGCACTTGCTGAATGACCTTCTTTAATGTGTTGTAGATTGAGGAAATATTCCATTAAGGTTGAGTTTTATACTTGCCCTACAATTCACTGCCCAATAGAACTTACTTATTAAACTGCCACTATCCCTATCCTGATTTGCACATATAGGATATTTTCCCATGTCTGACTGACTCAGCATTCAGCCATGGGGAGTAAAGAGAGGTGAAGTCCTCATCGATCAAGGGATAGCAGCCTTCCTGAATGACAAATAAGACCATACCACTACAAGAACTGTTTTTAATTCACTCTCCAGTGGTTGTAATTTCAATGTTATTTTGAAAGGGACCAATCAAATAAATCTTCTCCCTCAACACAAAGGCTGTCACTGCGAGTCAAGGCACAGCACTCCCTGGACTCATACTGCCCCATCTCTCGCTTGCCCTTGATGTGAACGATTTCACGGGCAAGTGTCAAGATAAAGATGGCCCATTTCGGGGACCCTTACGCGAAGAGTTAAACCAGAAGACGTGGACCAAGAGTAGAGCAAACGCGGAAGTGTACAAAGAGAACAAATCTATATTTTGATAAACAAATCCACAACTCTCCATTACTTTGGAGGAGATTTCTGAGCAGAAAAAAAGTCCAGAATGACAGAAAAAATAGAGTCAGATGCAAATGTGATTTGAGTATTTGGCATCAAGAAATGGAGTCAAAGTCCTATAAAAATACGGAGAGAAAATAATCTGCTATGAGGGGTGTGCAAAGCTGTTTACCCCACAAGCACTGAGAAAATGTTTTCTGAAAGACAATGAGCAATGACAGACTGCACCTACAAAGACATGGGGATGATGGAGGATGGACGATGAGATAAACAAATGGAGAAAAAAAGATAATGCATTTTTGTAACTTTGTTTACCAGCATGACTACTTTGCATGACTGTCTTTTCTGCAAGCCCTTAGTTGAAGACAAGGGTGCTAGAGATACAAAAAATATATATATAAAATTAATTAAAAAAAATGTTATATGCAATTAATGTTTTAAAAAAGATTATAATGAAAGAGAAGAGCTATATTTTGTTTTGAAAAGTTAAAAAAATGTGAATATTGAAACATGTATGTTTGCAAAGTACACCCTGAACTATGTTTTGTTTGATGAAATCTCTCTGCTACTACTGCCCTACATTCGTCATTCCAGTGTTTTTGACCTTTTCTGTCACTGTTTTATTTTCTAATGCACTGAGCAGTATATTTTTTAACTCTTCTAAGTCAACAGTGGTCGTTCAAGACTTTGCCTATAGCACCTGCGCAAAGGCTTTCTTTCCTGGGATGTTCTTTGTTTTTTTGTTAGGTCCATGTTTTCCTCCTTGATTCATTTGCACAACTTACGTAGCAGCAGCAGCAAGAGCAGCAGCAGTTCTAAAACAGCAGCACTCCATACCACAACTTTGACAGCTTGAATACTACTCATAGTTTGCTTTTTTTCTTTGGCAATAATACAGTAGTTGTCACAAGATTGTAGCAGGTCAAATGGAGAACCTTGAGTCCTTGGAGTATCTTTAAAATCTCAGTGTTAGAGATTTATAAAGGCCTTGGATGTCCCATGGCAGGATTTTGCTAGGATAGGCAATTCTGTTCCATTCATAGAAACATGGGAGTAGATGTGTAGGTTATCCAATAAAGACCAATAACAGTACGAAAGATACTATATTGGCAAATAGTCGGAGATATCAGGTTTGCATGGAACCAACTGCCATTCCAAAATTTGTGTGGTTTTAAGGACTCAGGTGTGTCAATGATGTGCTTGGATGTAGGTGTTTTGCTATTTTCTTTCTAAGATAAAAAAAAAAAAATCCTAGTATATAGACGACGATAATGTGAACACCTCACAGTGATGTGTACAAACGCATGCATTATGACTTGATAATCTCTCAAGGGGGGGAACAGAGTCTTGACATATTCCCTTAGCCTCCTATCATTGTTTGTCATGAATCCAGTCCTGATAACTATAAACACTGTGCCGTGTTGTAGAGCAGAAACGTCTTCCTCCAAGAGGCAACTGAAAACTACTCACACTCGCAGTGTCAGCATGAGTGTGTAGAGGTAGCTCGTCTTCGTTTTTTTAGATGGTCAGGTCTTTGCATTCGTCACTTACCATGATTATCGTCATCCAGCTGGCTAGTTGGCAGCTTATTACAACAAACAGCACAGTCATGTGAGTACCAATCAAAAAGACCCAGAGCTTCCAAAATGATGTCAGAAAGTGGGAACGAAAGGGTGAGAAATACCAGTGTCCACCAAGGGGAGATTGATAATGATGTAATAAGTAAAAAATAATGTCACTGTTGAGTGCTCTCTAAGCCCCTCATCCTTGTCTTGGTATTCCAAGTGAGTTTCAGGCCCTGCTGGTCCAGGGCTTAGCTCAGGCAGCTGCACGGTTCTTTGTCCATTCCTAGTACATTGCAGTTGGAGGCTCACCAGAATATGAGACTCAGTGGTGTGATGTAGACTGTAGAAGTCCTTCAAAAATTCTGTCGAGTCTACACTGGTTTTACAGGGTCTAGAACTTTTGTCTATTTGCATTAAATGGTCCATGGAATTTCTTTTTTGGTCCCGTATCTTTTTAAAACTCACAATTTCAGTTCCCATTTTGGAAGGCATTAAGCTACCATGGCTTTGATGGTCACAAAGATGTTTATGAATATTTCAGAGGTAAACTTCTTGCAATGGTGCGCACACTTGCAAAAACCTTGTGCTTCACCCAGCTGTTTTTGTTTTTATGGCCAAGTAGTGTCTTTTCCTCTTTTTATTTTTCATGGTTACAGTCTTTATTTCCTTCATTCTCTACGTTGTGGCTGCTCTGCCAATGCCAGGCTGAAAAAGATGTCTTTCCTTTTCCAATGCATAATACTGCCATTTGATTTAGACACGTTTGAAGAGAATGAGTTACAATGTTGAGAGTGCTAAGTCTGTTTTATTTTTACAATCTGTTAAAATGTTATAAATTTCATGTAGAAACACTCACCGTAACCAAAAGAACAAATTTGCTTTACATGGTAAGGAGGTGCAACTGTTGTGACAATGACTATTATGTATGTGGACATGTCATCTGCAGGTGTTGGGAAAGTGTCATGTGGTCCTTGGATGACACATACTCAGTGGTAACCATTTTCTTTATATGCTCGTTTATGTTTAATATGTTTTTCTGTTTTTCTTTTTTAAGTTGAGGACACGGTATGCAATCTGCACCACGAATGCCACTGATAGACACTTACTGTATGCTCCCTGAGACACAGATATTCTGTCATCAGTTTAGACGATTGCAATGTGTAGTGGCTTTATGGTTTTCCATAGAGTAACTTAGCAATCACACTAATTGAAAAATATTTTATTTTACAAATTAATAATAACAGAGTTGTTATCAATGTTATCATACTAACTACATTTTTCTAACATATATCATATATCTTATTTTAATTAGAAATATAATGATTAATACAAAGTCATACCCAATATACGTTGAACTAACAGTACATAGTATCATTATGCATCCAAAGATGAAGACATATTCATTTTAGAAGCTATCAAACTGTCTAAAACAGACTTAAGTACTAGTCCATTGTACTGCGGTCTAAGTAGGAGAGTGAATGGGGCGAAGAGGTGGTCACTGGATTATCTGGTTGTGACTTATGCCGGATTTTATTTTTGAAATGTTGTAAAACAAAGAACAACTCATCAAGAACTGTATAAAGTATATTTCAATGGAATGTTCATGATCTATCTTTTTATATTTTGAAGAAAAAATAGAAACATATCAATAAAGTGTCATAATTGAACATATTTCTACTATTGAGACTTATAATGTATGAATGTCAATGCGATCTAATGTGAATCTCAATCTTCATAGCAGCTTGAATGAATAACAAACTAAAAGTCATGAGATGCTTTTTCAGAGACATTAAAATTGCTTAAAATCATTGAAATTAACTTAAAATAAATGAAAAAGTAACACCACTCGTGTGTCTGTTTAAGATTTCTGATCAAATGTGGGCGTTTGTGAACACCGGCTGAATATGACTGATAGAGTGACATTTTGCACCGACTGTCACAGTTAACACTGTTTATCAGCCTGTCGGGAACAGGATACCACAATAAAGTGATTGATATAATTTGATATGAAGTGAGAACACAGTGAAATGCAAAGCTGTCCAAGAAACTGGAGACTGACATTGAATTCATGACTGGAAGGACATGGTGTATATCAGTGCCAGCATTTACAAGAAGTTTCTGTTTAAGTCAGTAACTGTTACTTTGAGAAACAGTCACATAATGGCAATCGATAAATTTGAGGTCAGCAGTAACTGTGTCATGATATTTAAGATTGAGGATGTACTCTAAGTGCTATCTTCCCAGCTTGATATCAGATAACTGTAACTTATAATATTCCTGACACTGGATACCAACATATCCCTTCCTGTTCCAAAATGAGAGGAACAGGAATGTCTATAAAGACATGGACGAGTGAGTATGGTGTCGAA